CAATTTAAATTTAATAGCAAAGCTGATGTAATGAGGGGGCTCCTGTGTTTGGTTTTCATTAGTATTTTTCAGCTCCAGTATCGTTTCTCATGGAAACAGTCATGTGTCACGGCAGCACACCCATTACTGCTCCCTGTGATGCTCTACAGCAGTGTCCCCCGTCCTGCCTTCCTGAGACTATCTGGAGAAAAGAAGACTTGACCCTCGCTTCCAGAGTGTACCCATCTGCCCCAAAACCTGTGTGGGGAGGAAAACACAAGTCCCTGGAGCGGTGAGTGCTGAGCAGCCAGGAGCGATGGCAGGACCCTCCTGCTTTGAGCTTCGCACTGGTCACCCTGGCTGAGCTGCCCCTTGCTGAGCACCCACAGTTTCTGCCAGCCCCATACCACGCCCCATCGCAGCTGGGTACCATGGGGAGGGTCTTTACATCCCTGGGGGTCTCATCATCCTGGGCTGGAGCAGGGGAAAGAGCCCTGAGTCGGCCGCTGGGAAGAAACATAGAAGCTTTACAGCTCCCAGCCCTCTGTGTCAGCAAAAACTACCCCTATCACAGGTCTGTTATCATCCAACAGTGTAAATATTTTCTAAATGAGCTGAAAGGAGGATTGATGAATGTGGTTTTGCTGGAAAATGATACCGAGTTGGGAACAGGGATGGCTGAACACTCCCAGGCTTCTGATGCCTTTGTTGGATTTGGCACCTGGATGTTGGGGTGCTCAGAGCATCCCATTGGGAACATCTGTGCTTCTGTGCAGGCAATAGACTGCTGAAAATCATGCCTGATGTCCCACATTCCCATCAAAAATCCCTACCAAAACCCTAGTGTGATGGCAAGAACATTATAACAAAACTGAACCTTAAATCATGCTTAAAATTTGCTGCTGTGGGGATGGGGTGTTTGAACCGTCTTGCCAAGTTAAACTGCTTCATAAACAAAGATCTGTTAATTGGATATTAAAGCATTTCCCTCTTAATTGCTTCTTTCAATACAGCATGGATGGACAGTGCTGGAAAATCTTTCCCAGCTGGTGGCTCTTTGGTACTTTGTGATTATATTAGTCCTCAGAGCAAAGGCATTCGGGTGCAAAAAGCTGCTAAGGGCAGTTTCCAGGCTTGGAGGGGTCATAGAAACACCCCCCCCAGCTCTCAACCTCCTCCGTGAGGGCTTCACAGGATCCTGCGTGATGTAAGGTATGTTTTAGCTGCTTGGCCCGGTTATCCCTGGGTCACTCCTCCCACCTACGGTTTATGCTCTGCAACAGCATTTCACTCAAGCAGCTGCTTTAGCATGAATTAAGGCTGAAATAGCAGCTGCAGTGCCAAGGCGAGCCTAAAAGTGGCTTTCTGCCAAAAATGTACGTGCCACGGGAATTTAGATATTCCTGTCCCCACGGGACAGCTGGGCAGAGACTGGAGCCTGGCAGCAGGACGTGTCTGGTGGATTTAGATGCTGGAAGAGGATGATGCTTACCTGAGTTCCTGCCGAGCCCCGCAGCTCCGTGGGGCTGGTGCCCACGCTGTGACCCCCCGGGTTTTCCTGCCCCAGTACCCTCTGCGGGGCACCTGCCATCACAGGCAGCAACATGCTGCTGGCTCAAATCTTTCCCAGACAACCCTGCCTCGGGTGGGGGTGCACATCTGCTCCAGATGTGTGACATCTCCTTCTTCCACTTCTTCAACCTTTCTACTCTGTGTCCTGGGAGCTTTCTTGGTGCCTCTGACTTCTTGTTTCTTCTGCTGCTGGCTTTGGTGACGCTGTGTTGAGTTATGGCTATGAATCCTGTCTCCATGGCTTGCGGAGTGGTCCTTCCACAAACATCTGCAGGAATGAAGTCTTAACGCCCTAAAGGGAATTGCAGCCCCTTGGTCATGGGCTTAGGAACATGCCAGGACATTTTAGCTGACATAGCTGTTAAAAGCCCATGGGGAAAAGACTCTACTTTTAATATCAAACATATCCATATAAAATTAACCATATGGTATTGCCATAATTGGGAAGCATGGGCTCTGAGAATTAAAAATGAAGTGGGAAGGTGGAAAAGGCCTCCAAAGGCAATGGATGCTCACCTCGCTGCCCACCTTCCTGCTGCCACGGGATGCAGGGCA